CAAGATCTCAGAGTCCCAGCTGTGTCCCTGTCCCCAGCCCAGAGCCCCAAGTGCCACCTCCAGGGATGGGAACTCCAACTCCTCCCAGGGCCTGGCACCTTTTCCTGGGAGCAATTCTCCCTAAAATGCAGTTATTTACCAGGAATCTCTTCCTAGTGCCCCCCTCTCCCAAAAAAAAGCTGCTCCCCATGGTCTAATCTAGCTGTGGTTTGGGCCTGAGGGAAAAATTGGGATTTTAAACAATGTGCAGCCACACCTTGATGGTCCTTCCTCCTCCTGCAGCCTCCTCCATGCTCAGTTCCCAGCCTTCCCTCCCAGAAAGGGACTTGTGTGGGTTCAGAAGGCAAAATATTCACCCTGAAGGCACATTCTGAGCCAGGCACGAGGGGATCATCAGCTCTCCAAGCCTTCCCAAGAGCTCTTGCCCAAAATAGCCCAAAATTGACTGTACAAAACATCCAGTCCCAAACCATAGTTCCAAAGAGCCCTCAAGCACATCCAGAAAAGGGCAGGAGCACCAAGAAAATTCACTTTGGAGGGGTCAGGGGGATTCAGGAGCATCCTGACCCTGCCCAGGGAATCCTCAGGGCAGCTGCAGAGCAGAGCCTGAATTATTCCCAAAACAGGTGTGGGACAATCCCAGAGAGGGATTTTGGCTGTGCTGCCTCTGTGGGATGAGGGGTGAGCAAAGCCCCAGCCCACAAAGGGTTTTTAAAAGGCTTCAGCTGCTGTTTGTTTGAACCCAAAGAATGCTCTGCCCATCACATGAGGCTTTATTGATTTCCTCTGTACTCAGGAGCAAAACAAAACCACCAACCCTGTACCCAGCAGAGAAGGGAAAAAAAAAAACAACCCTAAAATCAAAAACAACCCTAAAATCCAATGGAGATGGCATTTCCAGGTTGGAATCACAGCCCTGGCCGCCCATCCTCCCTCCCTGATCATCTTTTACACCCCAAGTGTTGGCAGCTCCTGCTGGAGCTGCGGTGGCCCAGCAGCCTTGCCTGGGTTATTGATTAACCCCTGCTGCTCCTGCAGCCCCCGAGCAGGGATGGGGCTCCTGCCTGTGCTCACAGAGGTGCCCGAGCCACGTGGAGCCTGCAGGGAGAGGAGATGAGGCTGATTAAGGCTCATTATCCTGTTTAATTCGGTAATGATGGCAGCAGGCAGGCACAGGAGTGGGAAGAGCAGGAGCTGAGGCAGCTCCTGGGGGTTTGCAGCTCCCAGCAGGACCAGCTCCCTCTCCCTGCTCCTGTCCCAGTCCCAGCAGGGAATTCCTGCTTGCCCAGAGGCTGGGACCCATCCAAAGCAGGAGCCAGGGAGCTCCCAGAGCCCCCAAACCCACCACGGGGGCTTGGGAACACCCTCAGAACTGCCCAGGACAGCTCCTGGGGGCTCACAGAGAGTGGTGGGATGACTCAGGGGGGAAAAGCCCTCTGAGAACACCGAGTGCCACCATGCCATGTCCCCAAGTGCCACATCCAGCTTTAAACCCCTCAGGGATGGGGATCCACCTGCCCTGGGCAGCTGGGCCAGCTCCTGGTGCTTCCAGTTTTCACCTGCACCTGAAAATCCAGCAGCAAAAGCAGCCAGGGACTGCCTGAAACCCAGAGCCAGGGCTGAGGAATCCTCTGGCCCCTTGTGGGATTGCCCAGGAAGGGCAAGAAGAACATCCCAAACCCAATAAAACACCAAAGTCTGACAAAACCCACCCAAGGCAGCAGAGCTGCACGACAGCTTTGAAGGATGAGCATAATAACACTTAATTCCACCATTCTTATGCCTTTCAGTAGACCCAAAATAGCTGCTGAGCCATCAGGGACCTGCTGCACTGAATTTTCAAGTAAACTTTCCCTCAGAGGCTTTGGGTCTTGGCAGTGGAGATGCTGAGCCCCAAACCCTTTTTAGGAAAGGCACCAGAGGCTCACCCAGCCCCATCAGCACCCAAAACCTCCTCAAGCCCCAGCTGAAAGCCTCTTTAAAGAAAAAAATCAGGTTAAATGGGAGGCTCCATGCCAGGGAAATAAAGGAGAACTCATTTCCCAAACCCCTGGATGTGTTTTTGCCGTGCCCTCGCCCTCCAAGTGCCCCCAGATTTCCTGGGGAGGTTTGCCAAGCCCCACCAGCATCTCCTCCTCAGCTGGAGGATGAACAAACACCGGGGAAAAGGCAAAGATAAAGATGTAACAGATTAGATCTGCCTTTTGTGAGGGATGGAATGACTCCAGCTGCTCGGGAGTTTAACCCTTCCTCTGCCAGGAGCACACACTGGGATGCTCCAGCAGGGCTGAGGCAGGACAAAAACCCTTCTGGCAGCCAGCAGAGCAGGGCTGGGCTGATAAGGAGTCGATAAAAGCTTTTAGAGGGGCTTGTTGGGCAGCCTGGAGCTGTGCCAGGCTGGCAGTGCTCCTTCCTGCTGCCCTGCCAGCCCCAGGGGCACAGAGAGCCCAGAGGGACCCATTCACCAACCCCGGGGGAAACCTGGGCTCCAGAGGAAGGGAGATGGCTCCAGGGCACATTCCCAGCCCGGGGGTGCCTCAAGCCTCACCAAACTTTGGTTTTCATTTCAACACACTCAGCTCTAACCTCTGTTCTCTGCCCAAAGCATCCCCAAATCCCCATCCTGAGGGCACTGCCCAGCTCCTGGAGCCATTCCTGCTGCTCCAGGCAGGGCACACAGAGCCCCCCACCCTGTGCCAGCTCTCCTGGCCCTTCCCAAGGCACCCACGGGGAGGAAAAGCAGGGTTTGGATCAAGCACACCCTGACAGGGGGGCTCCTGCCCCTTCTCCAGGGGGAACACACACAGCAGCACTATTTTGGGATAAAAACCCTCCCTGAGCTCCTCTGAGGGTGTAAATCCTCCCTGTGCAGAATTCCCACACGGAGCAAAGCAGCCAGGAGAGAAGAGCTCTGCTCCCAGCAGCACTGCACCTGGATTTGGGGAAATATTGGATGGTTTTATACCTTCACTGCTCCCAGCAGCACTGCAGCTGGATTTGAGGAAATATTGGATGTTTTTATACCTGCACTGCTCCCAGCACCACTGCACCTGGATTTGGGGAAATATTGGATGTTTTCATACCTGCACTGCTCCCAGCAGCACTGCAGCTGGATTTGGGGGAATATTGGATGTTTTTATACCTGCTCTGCTCCCTGCAAGGCCAGCACCCTCCCTGCTGTCCCTGTCACTCCACCCTGCTATCCCCACACAGGAATTCCACTTTCCCCAAGGAACACCCAGTAAAAAGCCCAACCAGCAGGAACACCCAGGCTTTGTGCTCCAGCTGCTCCTCCACCCTGCTGGGCAGCACCAGCCCAAGGCAGAGGATCCAGCCCAGGGGACACCTTGGGACAGGAAGAGCAGCAGGGAAAGCCAAACAGCTCCCAAGGGAGACAAGAGCAGCTCCTGAATCCTGCAGAGCATCTGGGAGCCCCCAAAAAACCAGAGAGGGTGAGGAGAGTCCCACCAGGGGCATTTCATCCCCTGGCACTGGGAGTGTGGCTTAGGCTGGGGCTGTGTGTCCAGTTCCATCTGTCAGAGCTGGGGCAGTTCTCTGCTGTTCATTCGTGTCTTGGTTTGGACAGACAGGTGCCTGCTGAGGAAGGCAGGAGCCTCCCCTGAAATGGAAAATGCAAACCCCCTCCCTCTGAATTGCTATAAATTTTAAATTAAGGGGCACTCAGGCAAAAAAAAAAAGAAAAAGGGGGGCAGGAATAACAGTTCTTTATTAGGGAAGAAAATAATAAAATAAACAATGCAGTAAACCCAAACAACACTGAGAGGGTCAGACACAACCTGACACCCTGTGGCAAAGGAAGAAGTTTACATTTTCCATTTCAGGGGAGGCTCCTGCCTTCCTTAGCAGACACCTGGCTTTTCAAACCAACCCAGAGTGACCCCACTACACCCAGCAATTCTCCTCCCAGCTGAGGATGCACCTGACTGGAGCTGGGACCTGTCAGGAGAGGCTCCAAAAGCCAGGGAAAGGGGAAGGTTGGTGCTACAGACTCCTTAAAACCTCCCACTCCTTCCTCATAACCACAGACCAATAAAATCCCACTAAACTAAACATGAAAATTGAAGGATCTCCCTGGAAATGTGTGGAAATCTCTTCACTGAGTGCACCATTCTCGTGTTCCCAGCTGCAGAAATCCACCAGCTCCCCATTTATTTGTAATTTTAGCACCAGTCTCAGGCTGCCTGCTGGCACTGAGCAGCACTGCCAGGGCTGGCAGCTCTGCAAATGCAGCCCCTGGGCTGGGACACGAGGTCACACCTGAGCTGTGTGAGCAGCACTGCCAGCAAAAAGAACAAAAGCAAAGTGTGAAGGGGGAAAAAAGCAGGAAGATTAAAAAAAAAAACAGAGCCCAGCAAGTCTAAAGCTGCATCCAGCACTGCCAGAGCCAGCCAGGGCTCAGGGAAATCTCAAATTCATTAAATCTGGAGAGAATCCACCCATGCCCAGCTACCAGCTGCTCTTCCCTGCAGCTGCAGGAAGGGCAGGAACCCCCAGCCTGGAATTCCCTCTGACAGAACTGGGAGGAGGCCCCAAACTGGGAATTCCCTCTGACAGCACTGGGATGAGCTCCCAAACTGGGAATTCCCTCTGAGCAGCACTGGGGTGAGCCCCTAGCCCCACAATCCCCACTCACAGCTCTGGGATGATCCCAGCCCAGTCCCACTCACAGCTCTGGGATGATCCCAGCCCCACGATCCCCACTCACAGCTCTGGGATGATCCCAGCCCCACAATCCCCACTCACAGCTCTGGGATGATCCCAGCCCCACTCACAGCTCTGGGATGATCCCAGCCCAGTCCCACTCACAGCTCTCTCTGGGATGATCCCAGCCCCACAATCCCCACTCACAGCTCTGGGATGATCCCAGCCCAGTCCCACTCACAGCTCTGGGATGATCCCAGCCCAGTCCCACTCACAGCTCTGGGATGATCCCAGCCCAGTCCCACTCACAGCTCTGGGATGATCCCAGCCCCACTCACCAGCTCTGGCAGCAGCAGGTCGGCCCCGAACACGAACGCTGCCCCCAGGGCAAAGCCAGCAGCCACTGGGAAGAAGGAGAAGGCCCCAAAGGTCCCAGATTCCTGGGCCAGCTCGATGGCTGGGGCCAGCAGGGACCAGTAGGACGCTGCCAGCATCACCTGGGGACAGAAGGGGAGCAGTGAGAATCCCTGGGATGGAAGGGAAGCTGAAATCCCAGTGGAAAAATGGGTGCAGGATCAGGGGAAGGAGCAGAGCCCAGAGCTGCAGCAGGAGGCTGCTGTGGGAAGGTGACCCCAGCTCTGCCCAGCAGCCCCAGGAAATTCCCTTGGCAGGATGCTCAGAGCCCCAGAATGGTTTGGGCAGGAAAAGACCTTAAATCCCACCCAGTGCCCCCATGGCAGGGACACCTGCCACTGTCCCACGTGGCTCCAGCCTGGCCTTGGGCACTGCCAGGGACCCAGGGGCAGCCACAGCTGCTCTGGGCACCTGTGCCAGTGTCCCAACTGCATCCCAGAGAATTCCTTCCCAACTTCCAACCCAAACCTCCTGCCAGTGTCCCAACACCTCTGAGGAAATTCCTCCCCAACTTCCAACCCAAAGCTCCTCTCCTGCAGCTCCAGCCCCTCAAGAGGAGCTGCTGCCCAGCTCAGGGGCTCAGCAGGCTCTGGCACCCTCAGCCCTCCAGAGAAGGGAGGGAGGAAGGAGCTGCCAGTGCTGCAGACAGCAGTCAGTCCCTGGGGTTGTGTAAATCTGAGCTGCTGTGAGTAAGAGGAACGAGGGTTGTCATGTCAGGCTTCAGCACGGCTGTCAAACCTCATATTTCAAATGCCACCTCCTTTAAAAAACAACCACACACCCCAGCGTGGAAACACAGGCAACAGGGAGAGGCTCTGGAGAATTATGTTGTCAGCTCACGTTAAGATATCATTTCCCCACGGCAAACAGAGCCCTGGCAGAGCTCAGCCCCCAGATCCTGCCAGGATCCCACAGCTCGGGGCTCCTGGGGAGTGGTGACACAGCCCTGAGCCAGCCCCAGGTGGAGGAAAAGGGATTTATTCCATTTATTCTGGTAACCCCAGGTGCTGGGAGGCTTTGTGATGGATTTACAGAACACCCCAGGGTGCAAGGGAGTCCTGTAGCAGCCTCTCCTCAGCCCAGCCCTGAGCTCAGGGTGGGATTTGGGGATTTAGGATCACCTGGAGCTCCTGCCCGCCCAGGGCAGGGTCAGAGCTGGTTCAGCTGACCCCAGGGGTGACCAAAGGGGAGGATTCCTGCCAGCACCCCGGGTTAAGTGACAAATTCACACTGACCCCAGAGCCCTGCACGGCCCAGCCAGGGACAGCACCCAGGCCCCAGCGCCCCAAACCAGCAAGGGCAGCACAAAACAGGAAAATCCCCCTGGATCAACAAACTGGGACCACTGGGACACTGAGGACTGCCCACACCTTCCCCCCACTCCAGCCCCACCGAGCCAGGGACCCAGAGTGGATCTGGGGCATTTTCACAGCCTTGGTGCTCCAAAGATGCCACAGTGCCATAAATGCAGCAGGACTGGGAAAATGTGGAGCAGGCAGGAGGCAGCTGAGGGACCCCAAAGCCTCACTGGGCTCCAGCAGTGGGACAGGAGACAAAAATCCAACCAGTGACTCCAGATCTGTGCCCTCCCTGGTGGGAATCCCTCCCAACACAGCAGGATTTAAACCCAAACCTCTCCCAGGGCTGGCACCTCCTTGCACAGGGATTCAGTGCAGGATTCCCCAAATTCTGGGCTTTTCCTCAGCCCCAAACCCAGGGATCCAGCAGTGCCCCTGTGCCTGTGGAGCCTCACAGCTGCTTTTATGTTAAAATTCAGAATAAACAGAGCCATGAGCTTCACACCCAGGGCTGGGCTGCAATTAAATCCTCATTAAAGCCTGGCCTGGCCACCCTCCTGTGGGATCCCTGGGGTGGGAATGGGAACACCAAGGGACACTGGGGAGCAGGAAATGCTGGAAAAGGAGGTGGGGAAGGCAGGTGGAAGATGAAGACATTGGCAGGGCACTTTCCTGGCCCAACTTTTCCACTTGGCTTCATTAGGAGCCTCAGCAGAGCTGAGTTCGTTCCTGATGTTGTTTGAAGGGAGTATTTGATCCCAGAGTGCCTGGGGAGGGCTGGGGATGATTTCCTGCTGCACCTGGGACAGAGAAAAACCCAAAGTGCAGCCCAGGCAGAGGAAAAGCTGTGCCAGGCTGCAGGGAAAGGGGCTGCAGGTGTTTGCTCCTGGTGGCTGAGCCCAGCCCAGCAGCACCACAGAGAACAGCTGGGGGGGAAAAACAGAAATAAACATAAAAAAAACCTCACGTAAGGATATCAAGATTTAAGAGCAAAGGCAGAATTTCCCATCAGATGCCCCAGCAAGCAAAGCTGTGTCTCTATGGAAACACATCACCTCGGAGGAGCCTGCAGGCAGAGCCCTGCATTGGCTGGGGCTGCCAGGGAGGGGCTGAGGCAGGGCAGGGGGCAGGGCTGGGCTGGGGGAGCTGGGCTGCACAGGGCCCTGCCCAGCCCAGGGGGCACCCCTGCCACCAGCAGGGCCAGCCTGAGCTGCCAGGGTGCTCCCAGTACACCCCAGTACACCCCAGTTCAATTTATCCACATGGCCAGGCTCACCCCAGCACCCCCAGAGCAGCTGGAGCCTCTGCAGGGTCCTGGACCCCAAGGGAGGGAAAAAAGCGGGGGGAAAGGGAGGAAAAAGGGGGGAAAAGGGGAGGAAAAAAAGGGGGGGGAGGAAAGGGAGAAAAAATGGGGGGGGAGGGAAAG